TGTGGTTTGGGCTAGGAGAGGAGAATGGAGGTGGGAGGGGAGGGCAGGCGGCGGTGGGGAGTTCCAGGACCTCGCTCAGCCCGGAGGAGACCTGGACCCTGGGCTCAGGGAGCGTGGGCACAGGGCGGCTGTGTCTGGGCGCGGGGCAGAGACTGAGCCTGGGGCCCCCGACAGCCCAGGTCACATGCCGCCTGCTTTGCCGTCGGACCCGGTGTGCAGACCCAGCCCTGGACTTCCCAGGGTGCCACCCCTCCCCGCCACGTGGCACCGCTGCTCAGGCCCTGCCAGGCACACCAGCTGACCTGGCTGCTGTCCCGGCCAGCTGGGGGCGACGGCGGGGCTCACGGGCACCTCCGGCCCCGGCGCTTGGGCGGAAAGCTGTGCCCGCTGGGTTTCCGGGGGGAGTCTACAGTCTCCAGAAACACAATTTTAATTCAACGTGTCAAAAATTCTCTCCTAAATCCAGTGGCCTGGTTGGCAAGAGTCCCTGAACACGGGGGGTGTCTGTGCCCCCCGGCCTGCCTTAAGGCCCAAGGCCGCAGGCAGCCCTGAGACCCGGTGCCAGGGGGGCCCTGGTGGGGGCCCCCGAGGGGGCGGTTGGGGGTCACCCATGGGTCGCCCCCTCTCCTTGAGGTTTATTCATTCCGGTGAAATGCACTGATCTGAGACACCTGTCACTGTCCATGCCCGCGCAGGGAGAAGGGGCTTGCTGGGGTGGAGGAGCTGGTGCAAGGGGGGGGGATCTGGTGGAGTGGGGGGGCTGGGGGCCACTGCTGGGCGTGAGGGGGCTGGGGGGTCCCGGCAGGGCCTGGTGGAGAGGGCTGGGTGGGCCCAGGTGATGATGGTGGGTAGGCGGGGGGGCGCAGACGCAGCTGGTCAGTGGGTGGTGGGCAGTGAGGCCCTGCCCAGCCGAGTGACCGTCCCAGGGCAGTAAGGAGCCCTGTCCTGGGCTAGGCCCGGGAGCACCGCGGATGGGGTGCAGGCGGGCAGCTGTGGGGCCTCCTGCCTGGGCACACAGAACCTGCCCTGGGGGGGGGG